GCTCCTCCCACTCCCCCTCCTCCTCCCGCTCCTCCTCCGCCAAACAACGTGACAAAGATCCCGCCATAGCCCCGCTCCCGCTCCTTCTCCCGCTCCTCCTCCCTCTCCTCCTCCCTCTCCTCCTCCCTCTCCTCCCCCACACTGGTCCCACTGCCCGGTTCCCGCCTCGCCCTCATTCTGCCACAGGTTCCACAATTTTCGTTGGGCCCGCGACCAGGCATGTCGTCGGGCCCTTTGTTTGCTTTAGTAGTATAGAGATATCTGACAGGTTTCAATATGGAATCTGAGAGGGAACTAAGGGACAGGCAAGCTGACAGTCAATCCTCCATCAAGGAGCAATCAATGCTGGTCATGGGTTCGGCGGCCATACGGAAGGAAGCGTGAGCGTGTATATTGATGTATTTACTCTTGACTTGCTGGTGGAATAGGAACCGGTCTGATGCTCCCCAGAATGGAAAGGGAGCCAGGACCATAAGGACCTGTTTTTTGTTTTTTTTTTAGCTGTGTAATGAGCCTCAAAGCTCACCACACGATAGTGTGCTCCCACTAGCATGTACATCACACAGATTGCATTGTTATACATTGCACAAAGAGAAGATGAGTAGTAGACCAGATAGTGCAACTCAAATATCACAACCAGAATATAGAGAGAGGATCAAAAGTTCAACTGTCCAACGCTCAACAAGAGTAGAAGTCTTCTTCAATCATCAAGAGTTTCAGCATCTGCGCTCATCAGCGCTTGTTACCAACACCAAGCTCAACACTTCAGATAAGTATCTACTATAGCTCACTCTCTTTCCCTCTTATCTCTCTCTCACTTGATGGTTCTGGTCTGCAATCTCCACGGTCTTCTTCTTCTCTCATATGCACACTCCCTACTACTAACACACTCATGAGGATCAAATACTACTCACTGCTCTACTACTACTAACTACTAACTACTAACTACTAACTACTAACTACTAACTACATTGCCTCCTAGTGCTGGCGCAGCTATGGCTGTGCCTTCTTCCCTGCCAGCGTCCACCTTCCTCTCTCTCGCATCTCACTCAGTGCTGCTCTCTGGCATAGCGCAGATCTCTCAGATCTGGCGCACAAGTGCACTAGCACTTCCACACTCTCAGTCTTTTGTAGTGTTGGGCTGGTCTTGGCTGGGCCAGCCTCTGGCCAAATTCCCTGGTACCGCATGCCCACTGCCTGTTTGTTGCGAAGTGTGAGTCCCAGGACCTTTCCCATGGTCTGCTGCTGCTGTGGCCTTTCGGGCCTGCCTTTTGGGCTTCTGGTCTGACTCAAGATGTGAGCTTTGGGACTGAGACTAAACTGGGCCTGCGACCTTTGACTATCTGCTGAACAGACGTGACCCCTGCTCATCCTCAGATTTGACTGTTCGCAAAGGACCTAGATGTGACTTTTGCAAAATGACTTTTCATTTCAGTCTGGACGCGACATTTGCCTTAGGAAAACTCGTCTTTAGGAATGCTGATTCGCAACTCCAGGTTTTGGCCGACTGGGCCCCTTTATGTTGGGGTTGTGACTCGGGGTCTGAATCGTGAAAGCCCTTTTAATCGGATCATTCTCGATTTATGTGTGTCATCCTTGCGCAGGGGCCATGCTAATCTTCTCTGTATCGTTCCAATTTTAACGGATGTCCCGAAGGACATAAGGACCTGTTAAAAAAAAAAAAAAAAAAAAAAAGGCCAGCAAGTATCATATTAAACAGTTTCAGAGGTCCAGTCACCAAGCGTTCGTCAGCGCAGAGTTCAACAACCCAAATCCAGCATCCTCATCCAGGTAGGTGACTCTCTCTCCCTCTTGCTTCCTCTCTCTCATGAGTCCACTTTCTCTCTCTCCCTCTCATGAGTTCTGTCTGTCTCTCTCTCTCTCTCTCTCTCTCTCTCTCTCTCTCTCTCTCTCTCTCTCTCTCTCTCTCTCTCTCTCTCTCTCTCTCTCTCTCTCTCTCTCTCTCTCTCTCTCTCTCTCTCTCTCTCTCTCTCTCTCTCTCTCTCTCTCTCTCACTGCAATGAAGATCTTGAATCTGGATGCATCTGCTACTACCCAGCTCTACTCGTATTGGTACACTGAGCGGCTATGGCCGCCTTCCCTTCCACAGCGCAGCGCTTCCCAGCCAGGGCTCCAGCGCTGGTCAACTCGCAAATAGCGCACAAGCGCTCAGCAGCACTTCCACACTCCTCACGAATGAGCAATCTAAAAAATGTGGCTGCCCAGTGTCTATATTGACTTGGACTGGGCTTTGACTCGCCCCAGCCTCTGCTCCTCTTGGCTTGACTTCGACCCGGTACCGGCTGCCAGTGGCCTGTTTGCTTTCGGAATGTTGAGGGCCGGTACCTCCCTGAGTTTTCCTTGGTGTGCTGCTGCTTTTTGGTCTGTGGGACGTGACCTTTGACTGTGGTGCGTGACTCTTGCCTGTGGGATGTGGCTTTTGACGGGGTACCGGTTGGACTTGACCTCTGGGGTACCCAACTTAACCTTTCTGAATCTGGCCGACCTGGCCGCCTTTGACGTGGGGATTTTTTATCCTGAAAACCGAATTCGGGGTCCGCAGCGTGAAATGCCTTTCAAAATTCAATATACTATATAGATATGTACTCCCCATGGGCCCATGTGCTTTTTTCCTCTTCCTCGTCTTCTACTTCTTCTTCTGATATGCCTCTGCTCTGAGGTTTCTACATGTCTCTATTCATTACCCGGAAAAGCCCTTCCATGTTTTGAGGGTTTATTTCCTGGCACCTGTTTGTTTATTTGCGTGAGCACTAGTGGCTGCCATGGCATTTCATTTTGCAAAATGAGGCGTAGGATCTATTTTGTGCAGGGGGCTTGGATCTGTTTGGTTGGATACCTAGGCCTCTCCTTCCTTTGTATTACATATTTCCAGATGACTTTGTTGATGCAATGTTCTTGCTGTGGTCCCCTGTCCATAAGAAGGCGACTGTTTTTCTTTGTACTTTTCCTGAAAATCCTTAACTAGGAAAGGCCCTCTCTTTCTCCTAACTTCAATGTATTGACACTATTGAGATGTATAAAATTTTCGGACCAATTCTCAGTTTTCAAGTTTTGTGCATGTCATCTTTGTGCAGGGGCTATGCTGATCGTCTCTGTCTTGTTCCAGTTTTTGCTGATGTCCTGAATGCCCAGAGAGTTTCTTCTTTGTTATGCTTCAGCCCAGACAGTTTCTTCTCTTTCACCCCTTCCGTATCCTCTATGCTCCATATGCACCTTCTACGAAACAGTCAGGGTGCAGGTGTAGTATGCCGAGGAGCCTGCATATTGAATTGGACCTGATTCGGTTAAATCTGCTGCTGTGTCTTGCCTGCCTGCCTGACATGCACTCATGAGGCTGTATAGTGCCTTCAGCCAGAGTTAAGATAGGTTGCCTACTACAGCTTACATGATGTGGATTGCAATGCTTCATACAGAGACTAATGATATGTTGCCTACAGCGATTTCACTAGTTGAAGGCCCATCAGCTCTTCATAGAGATGGTTTTTGAGGGGGTTGCTAAGGCCTTGCCCACAACCCTTGGACTCCATCAGAACCGTCAGTATCAGCATATGTAAAACTATTCCTGCAGTTCTCTCAGTTTGAGGCTCTGCGTGCGACAAGTTTTGGTATCGAAGGATAAAAGCTCTGGAAAAGATATACCCTGACCACATCTTTTGGCAGTCAGCAATTTAATGGAATGGTGAAATGGGGAAGCGACTCATTCTTCACTTCACTTCATGTGTATGTGTCCAGGTATATCATATTGACTGGCTCGGTCTCAATTTTCAAGTTGGATGATAAGGAGAATGCTAACGTCGAGGAGGGTGAGTTCTCTGCCATTCGTCCACCCTCCCCCCCTCCCACTCTTTCAATAGGGTTAATCAGTGGTCATATTCCTCTTGCTGGGAGAATACGCCATTGTACTGGTGTGTTTCAAAGTTTTCCCCTGATGCAGCCAGCTTCCCAGTGTAAGGCAAAACGGGTAGAACACACATGCAATGCTAACACCGAGGATGGTGAGTTCTCTGCCAATCGTCCACCCTCTCCCCCCCACCACTCTTTCAATAGGGTTAATCAGTTGTCATATCCCTCATGCTGGGAGAATACGGCACTGCCAAAGTTTTTCCCTGATGCAGCCAGCTGCCCAGTGTAAGGGAAAAGGGGTACAACACACATGCACACAGTGGTTTCGCCGCAAGAGCATGTGATTTTGTGTGTGTGTGTGTGTGTGTGTGTGTGTGGGTGTGTGTGTGTGGGTGTGTGTGTGTGTGTGTGGGTGTGTGTGTGTGTGTGTGAGAGAGAGAGAGAGAGAGAG